AAATAGGTTGAAGTTCTATAATTTTGATAATTATTTATTATTAACGATCGAATAGTCCATTTCAACGAAGTTCGAAAGAGATGTAACAGTGCAACACTTAGTTGTGCGAAAGAGTATTGAACTTTTGTTAATTTTCGTCAAATAGAATTCTTCACTATTCGATTTCATCTTCAATATCAATTTTTTTATTTGTTTTCAACACTTCAGAGGAAAATTACATGTACTATTTGGACAGTTAGAAGATATTATTACATATTTTTATTATATTCGCGAACTACCAATCGAATAGTACGTTAATTTCAAAAAAGTTGGAAGAAAACTTGTTGGTGCAACACTCAGTCAGTTGTTGTGAATGTTTGTGCAACTTTTTTTCTGAGGAGCGAAATAATACTCAAAACTGTTGAATAAGCGCATTCTCGTGTATATCCAATGTTGAAATTATCCAGATTGCAAAGCTTGCAATAACCAGAATTCATTCCAAAATAATTGAACTCCACCACCCTGTGAATGTTATAGAATCACATATCCAAGCAGATTGATTAGACGAACCAAATTTTGTGAATTTCGATTGATGTTGCTCACAAACACGAGATGAATTTGAACTCAGAATTTGATCTGTTGCGATAAAAGATATATGGAACTAGTCTTATCTGATAGCTTATCAATATCACTCAGAAAGTGTGGAAAATGATGATGATGCTGACATTTTTCACCTTGTGAATATTACATATCCAAGCAGATAGATGAGGCAAACCAAATTTTGTGAATTTCGATTGATGTTGCTCACAAAATCAACGTCCTTTAAAACATTGAAGACTTCTCAATGACTATAATTTCCAAAAAACTTTCGATTGGATACTGGGATTACCCATTATTTTGATGAAAAATTATTTAATCAATTGTTTCAAACAGTTATTCAGGGTGAGTCAGTTTTTTCATTCAACAGCTTTGAGAATATATCAATAGCTTCAAATACTGAGATTTTGAAATATAACATCATTATTTGGGGAATTGTAGAATTATACTTGGAAGAAACACATCCGAAACGGAGCTTCCACTTGTGTTTATATGATCCTCTTGAGAATATGTGCTTTTCAAGAAGTCCTGACACAAAAAACTGACTCACCCTGCAGTAACTAATATTTACTGGTACGTATAAAAATACTGAAGTTGGCATATTAACGAGTCATGATGTTAGTATACAAACTGGTTACATGATGACACGGAGAAGTGTCAAACTATGAGAACAGAATTCTCGAAGAACAATATTTCGCAATTTTATGTTGAGAACGGGAACAGATTCGTTTCAGATACGTTCAAAGATAAGTAAAAATTCGATATTTTTTTCCATATATTTATATTTCCTCTCTTCAAACTTTTGTCCAAACAAAGTTTCACTGACAAGCTATTGGATTTTTTTCTATTCTCCCTGATAGAAAAATTTGTTAAACGCAGTAACATTTTGGAGCAAATCATCTGATCTACCTGGGTACTTGATAGGTATGCCCCACACCTTCATGTCAAACCTGTCCATATATGCAGTAAAACCACTATAGATTAGATTCCAGAATTGATTCTTGATTGTTTTATTCAATACATAAGATAAGATAAAATGTTTCCTTTTGTTCACTCGAGAGATGAGATTATCCACATTACTTCGCAAACTGCTAATAAAGGGGATAGAAATTTAGAAATTCTGAGAAAAATATCAGAGCTCAATAGGATTTGTTCACGAGTGACAAAAAGTTGACTTCTTTATTACCTCCAGTAATATACGTCAATATGACGTCATGAAACATGACATAACCTTCAGGTCTCTTTGCAGTCGAAGACGTCATGGGCCAATAATGACTGTTGCGAAAACATATTAGAAGCAATGAGGCATTACAAGCTGCAGATCTACCCCAGATATCCAACCAACCAATTTCCCGAAATGATCATATCAAATACTTATTACATTCTCATTTATTCTCGAGGCTGAATATTGAATGTTGAGTCGATGCTTCATCAATGTGAGTAGTAGTTGTTGAGATTTCGATAAATTACTATTGACTAGATATGGTTCACGAATTTGAAAAATATTTTTTTGACACACAAATTGAGGAAACGGTGTAGGTTTGATGATACATCATGATGTTACCTGAAGTAACTGTCATCAAATTTAAAACAGTTTAGCTCTTCTGTCAACTTGATTATTTTTGCTTGGGCTTTCTGGAGAACAAAACCTGATTTCTCACCTTCCAGTACACATTCTTCAACCTCTTCAACATATTATTGAAATCCGAGGATGTACTAGGAATAGCATGCTGTAATGATTTTTTTAAAATTAATAACTGGATGAAGGCATGAGAATCCACCTTGCTGTTGACCAATCCTCCCTAAAATACAAGAAATCCATGTGAAACACCTGGTTTCTCTTTTGTTATCTTTCATATATGTATTATGAAAGTCAATATTATTTCGATCAATTTCATATCCCATATTGATTGATGGTGCCCAATCAGGATAAGTTTCATAATGTGAAAAAGCTGGTTCACCTGCAATAATCATTGAAATGAAATATTCTATAATTGGTAGGTATTTGGTTCCCAATAAATCCTGAAAGGAAGTACAGAACAAAATCCACTTTTTGAAACCAAAATTAATTGATTCCAATCATCAGAGACCAAACTTGTAGAGAACCAAATTTACTACAATTTTTGTTTCCAAACTTTTTCTGTAGAATCAAAAATGGCCGAGTTATTCAAGCAAAAGCTTGATTTGGTCGCCATTTTGAATTTAAACTCCCAGTGACCCCCCCGAGACACCTATGAAAAAAAAACCACTAAAAAATTATTCACGGGTCTAAGTCTATAATGACTGGACTACCAACATAAGCTTGTCAGGAGTAACCTTACCTTTGAAGACATCCATTTCGATGATTGATATTACTATCAGCAATAACCTTTCTTGAGAAAATCACGTGAGATCAATTGCTAGAAGTGCATCCCAAATACTTGGGTTTCTGTTTCGTGCCAGGAGCTATTTTACTACCAGTCAGCTTCTTATGATTTATGAGGCACAGATCCAATCTGTCCTAGAATACTGTTTCCATATTTGGAGCATCCAAACATACCCTGAAACTGTTGGATTCTGTCCAAAAAAGGGCAATTCGTCTCGTGGGTGATGCCTCGCTCACAAACTCACTCACTTTTCTGGTACAGCGAAGAAAAGTTGGCGAACTGGTTCTATTTTATAGATATTTCCATGGACGATGCTCTTCTGAAATATCAACAATTGTTCCTTTCTTGGCAGTCCCCGCGAAATTAACTCGTCAAGTTGAGGCTTCGCACCCCTTCGTGGTCACTTTGGAGACCTGCAGAACATCTTTTTCCAAAGACTCGTTCATCCAACGAACAGCGAGGCTCTGGAACACATTGCCAAGAAAGGTGGCATATAACCTCCAGAAATTTGAGTAGAACACCAATTCCTACCTCATTTTCCTTAGTTCTCACGATGTTCATTACGGGATATCCCTTTTCGTGGGAACCAGAACATAAAAAGAAAAATTTCAGATCAGCAGACCAGTCCTTTCGTTTGATTTCACGAATCAAAGCTGTTTTCATTCTTTGAGAAACTTTACAGATCTTTTCATCGGCTCCTATTGCAGAAAGGATTCTAGAGATAATTCACCAAACTATAAAATCATAAATATATGAGTGACTACAGTACTTTCAGATCACGATTAACCTGAAATTGTAAATTGAAGTATAAGTGGATAGAGGCATCTTTAGAAAACGCGCGATTTTTGGGCACGATGGCGTAGCCAGAGTACTCGAAATAGAGCAAGTGTTTCAAAGACAAGTTCTTTATGAATACTTTGCGGTATTTTTTTTCCATGGTACACTTTGGGGTCATAAATATAGAAATTACAACTAATAATGTCAAATGGTTGAACGTGTGTTAGTGATATTTCATTTGACGTCACATGGTACTCCTGACAGATCGATGATTGATTTGAAACTTTGATCATTTGAACTCCACGTTTCTCGGGTCGTTGATGTTATTGCCATATGTTGCTGTAGTAACTTCATAATAAAACGCGCATTTTTTTATGTTAGATTTCAACACGCTGAGACGTTCAAATAAGCAGAATAGGGTACTATGCAAAAAAAAAATGTATTCCTTCGTCTCTCGCTGCATTTTTCGTGCATTGTACAACAGCACAATGCGATGGTATGTTTGAATGAATAAATAGTGGAACAAATAGTCATCACGTAATATGTGTTGTAAGAAGCATATTACGCACGAATGGAAAAGTTACGCACGCATCCGCGGAGCGGCGAGTGCGTAATTCCATGAGTACGTTATTGCATCACAACACGCATTACGTACTATACTTTACCTACTACCATATAGTACATCAATAAAGTTTCAACAAATAGGCTGAATTATACCTAATTCTTGAAAGTTATGTCATCCTCTGTTGACGGCGATTACGCGATCATGGCATACCTATAAATACTGGCAGAATAAACGAGAACTGTGCGATGTGCTAACTGTGCGATGTGCTTACTGTGCGTAAAGAGCTACTCACTGAGGCTGTATCCTGTATCTTATGTGTTATTGTCTACTTTTCATAGTTGCCGTAGGTTAAGGATATAACCTCAAACCAAATCGATGCCGCAACGCAGAGGCAATATTGGAGATTCCTGTCAAAATAATTTCCGAATAAATTGTAGTTCGGTCATTTGATTCATTTTCCTTTGATAATCCTTTGATAGGATGATCTTTGTCCAAATGGGGCTCCATCAAATAATTGAAAAATATATTGTTGAAGTGTCCTTAAACCAATCTCTGACACTTGTATATCTACATTTTGAATTGATTATCGTGAACATTATTTCGTGTTCAATCATTATTTTTTATTATGAATCAGATAAGGATGCATATTTTTGTTTCCGAATCGATAAATTTATCTAATCTCTACCTATGTATTCACTGCATGTCGTTCTTTGTTCAGTTCATCCATGGACATGGCTGCTAATCGAATATCCTTCGTTGAGGAAGATATTGAGGTGAAACCATCGCCAGAATTGATACCAGATGAATACGAACACTTTCAAGAATCAGCCAGCAGAATAGCAGTTCACATTTTCGCAGAAAAAGCAGAACACAATGTTACTCAATTCTGTGATGCTCTCAAAATATGTGGAATTCATGTCAATGAAGGGAATAAACACTCATTGAGAAAACACAACTATAAGGAAGTATTGGATAGAAGTGAGTATTTACACATAACACTAATAATGTATTTATCATAATTCCAGTTTCTCAGTTATATTTTTCTTAAATCGTAAAAATCATTCATACTCGGAGTGGTTCAATGTATCTTCAAAAAAAATCAGAAGCTCAAAGTCGGTCGACCACACTTTATGTAAAAATACAAATTATGAAATGGTTACCCGTTTCGGCACAACGGCCATTATCAGACTACAGTACCTGAAATACATAATGAATGTAGAAATTGGAACAGAAAAACAAAACTCACTTGAGTCACATTGAATTATCAAAAAGAATTTAAGAACATGTCATTTGGGTTGACCACCGAGGCAAGTCAGGTATATGAATATTTGTCAGAAACGGCTGAATAGCCAGAAAAATCTGGCCCTAATGGGGTTGAACATCTAAAAAACTAAGTTTCAGTTATAGATGCAAATCGTCATACGCTAAATTGAAATAATTGATTCAGAAAATGAATAATCTAACAACTGGTATCATCATCATTCTACTGATTGTTGAGCTGAAAAAAAAAACATCAAAAACATCAAAACTGAGCCCTCTGTCTCATGGTACTATGAGGAAATGAATCGAAATATTCTCAACTATTACTTGAATTATTAGTTATTCGCATTCGCACTAATATTAAAATTTATTAAGCTTCATATCGAGCATGCCGATAATTTGATATTATTGTTTTCATTTCGTATTGTTTCAAAACTGGTGTTCTTGGCATTGATATTGCAGTTCTAGAATGATGGCAAGAATGAGATAAAGGAATATTTTCTTTCAAAATTCAAATGGGAAATAACAGGTAGAAAAAAATGTACATAGTTCAGAGATAAGCTTCGAACTTTGTGAGTCTGGTCTCGTGCTTTATATCATATCTCTGAATTTTGATGGAATGATTGTTATCCAACTTTTCAAGCTCAATCAAATATAAAATATTGGAAAATGAAGAATTTCAAATATGATTGACTTTCTTACTTTGATAACACCCATAATTTATGCTGCTATACGGAATTACTTTCAAATAATCCTTTCTACTAGTGCCTTTGGATGAAATATCTGAAATTGACTAAGATTAATGATTGATTCATTGATGAGAAAAAGAATTATGAGTCCATTACGAGGAATGCGTCTCAAGGATAGAAGCTCAGGGGCCTCCACCATGTCACGATATAATAGATGGTTAGTCCATCAATATCAATTTATAAGGGGTAATGCTTGGCTAAATAGTTTGCGAGAGGTGATATTCAAATAGGCACTAATAGTTTAGTGGTAAATGAAAGTATGAGACTTCATTCAAACATAAAAATATTTATTGAAGCATGAAACATTATGGGTAAAGTGATGAATATAAAAGAATAACAATGGATATAAAGACAAATAGCAACTTACATTATAATTACCATTACGACGAGTTCTTGTCGAGTCCAGAGTAGCCCCGGGCCAGACTACCTTCGGAACCCTTACATCCGATATTTATATACATCATTTTATTAGACTTGCACGTTTCACATGAGAGTTCCTTGGTCAGTTTTCATAATTCAATGTCAATGGATGATTTGATTAACTATATGTTTATATAACCCTCATGGTTCAAAATTACTAATATACCGAATGTTCTACTCGTGACACTACACAGGAAGTTTTATATGTTAATATGGTGAATCATGTTGATTTTTGAGACATTAAATGACAAAAGCGAGGTCAAAATTAGGAGAATGTTCCTCTCCAGAGGTCCGTATCACCCTTATCGCGGTCCCTTTGGTGTAGTGATGGCAGTATAGGTAGCTGCGATGGTGAAGATCTGCGATGGTAAAAATCTTCGATGGTGGAAGATCAGTGATGGTGAAGATCTGTGCTGGACTGGTAAGCCGAGTGCTTCAGCCCCTCCTCCTAGGAATTCCTCGCGGCGTGGCAACGAACCGCAGCTCAGAAGATCAGCGGCAGGTCAGACAACGACCTTAGTGTCCTAGGCACTTCCTAGCACCCTTGTGTATAGAGAATATGTCCTATACCTCATAACTCGTCGAAGAAACGTGGTACAAAAATTCCCACTGGACAAAACCAATCATCGGAAACTTCACTCACCTACTCAGAAAGGTTGGAGAAGTTCCAAAAATGAGATGTTTTCGAGCACGTGGCATGACTTTCAGGCGGCTCCAAAGGAGCGAAAACCCATCGAGCTCCCAAATCCAAAGTTGGTGACGGTGATTACGCCTAGCGTTAAGAACGTTGTGAAAAAAATTATATGACAATGACATACGTCTTCCGTCATGGCTGTCCGAGAAGAGAGCCTCAAGAATGAAATCTTCTTCGAAGTCCACTATTCTCCCAATAATAAGGTCTGGTAAGGGCTGATACGAATCTTCGCATTCTCCTTTTTCACTTCCGCAAGTCCATGATGTGCCTTAACAATTAAAGCTGATGGTTGCTTCTCCTTCATTGACTCAAACAACTGAGCCAAAGCTGAAATCATCACTTTCTGCAGGTATGGTGTGCCTTAGGAAAAATCATCTGAATACTTGATATGTTTACTCAAATCAGCTGTTTGTGGTCTAGTTTCCCTATGAAAGATCTGATTTATCAAAGACTATCCGTTGACTAAGTGTTCTCTGTGAATATGTACCTTTTCTCATCTGACTATATATATACCTGGTAGGAGCGAAAACCCATCGAGCTCCGAAATCCAAAGTTGGTGACGGTGATTACGCCTAGCGTTAAGAACGTTGTGAAAAAAATTATATGACAATGACATGCGTCTTCCGTCATGGCTGCCCGAGAAGAGAGCCTCAAGAATGAAATCTTCTTCGAAGTCCACTATTCTCCCAATAAGGTCTAATAAGGGCTGATACGAATCTTCGCATTCTCGTTTTTCACTTCCGCAAGTCCATGATATGCATTAACAATTAAAGCTGATGGTTGCTTCTTCTTCATTGACTCAAACAACTGAGCCAAAGCTGAAATCATCACTTTCTGCAGGTATGGTGTGCCTTAGGAAAAATCATCTGAATACTTGATATGTTTACTCAAATCAGCTGTTTGTGGTCTAGTTTCCCTATGAAAGATCTGATTTATCAAAGACTATCCGTTGACTAAGTGTTCTCTGTGAATATGTACCTTTTCTCATCTGACTATATATATACCTGGTAGAAATAAACTAATTGAATAGATACTTAACTGAAACCCTTTGTAGCAATTCCAAACTCTACAACATGAAGGCACAAACATCATAGAACAATAACTAATATTGTCAAGTCACTAGTTTGAATGTTCATTCTTCCAAACTTAGTATTTCATGCTCAACCTCATCAGGGCCAGATTTTCTGGCTTTTCAGCCGTTTCGAATAAATGTTCATACCTGACTCGCCTCGATAATCAACCCATTGACATGTTGATAATTTAGTGTGAATAAAGTGAGTTGAGTTTTTCCTGTGACAATTGTAACTTTTTCTTCTTATTTTAGGTACTGCAGTCTGATAATGACTGTTGTGCCGAAACCGGTTACTGTTGTATAATATATATTGTCACATGAAATGTGGTCGACCGCCTCTGAGTTTTTGATTTTCTTTGATAGTTTCCTTAGTTATAGCATTGAGGCTCGTTCTGTTGATTCTCAGGTATTTCTCAATATTGAGGATATACAATGATTGGTTACTAACAGATTTCAACGTTTCTATGAGTATAACACGTGACTGTTCTAGTCTTCAATCTCATTCCCTTATCTGATAGCACAATAACTTCATTGTGTTAGTTAATGTGGAATGTGAAATTTCGAGCAATAACAGCTCTATCTAATAGAGCGTTACTCAAGAGAGAATCAGATGGCAACAAGCCGAAGAAATCGAAAATGTCGCTCTTATCTGTTATAGCTGTAGAGAAAGTATAGTGTATAATTTCCCACTCGTATGAAATGACAATTATTCCAAGCAATTTAAACAATAGTAGGTAGGTACTATTTTAATATCAGTTTCCTGAGTGACAATAGTACGTGATATATTCCAATGAATTCCTCATAATTTGATTATAATTTGAAGACTTTGGTTTTTAGTGATTTGGCATGATGTATTTTTCCATTTCATGTCCAAAAATAGCTATTTATATATCAAGGGATGAAAAATATCAATTTCCTCCCAAGATATATATATATGATTAACGTAGGTGATCCATACTTTACAGAGGAGGTGATATAAATCAGGAGAAGTGAAAGAACCTACAGTCACAACTCCACCACATAAACAATTTAATAATAACCAACGGTCATGGACATAAGTAAGGACATGTTTCGAAGGATTAATCCTTCATCATCATCAAATGTATCAAGGAAAAATCTGTAAGAAGAAACAATGCTTATGTTAGTTTTAAGTATTGATTGAGGAATCTGAATGTACCTACCATTATTGGTGGAAAATAATTACCTAATAAAAAAACATGAAAATACTAATTTTGTTTCCAACCGCGCATAGTACGGGTGAGCAAATGTTAGGGAACCATTATTACAGCTCAATAAGAGCTTAGTTTTAGAAGAAAATGTGATACAATTCAAATATTAAAATGAACCAACATGTGGACCTGGATTTGTTGAGTTAGGTTAACTAAGCACAAATGACAATTGACAAATGACATCGATGACAATGACGCTGAGGACAAAACACAACATAAGAATGACACCCGTCAAGTCAAAACTAAGGAATGTTTCGATTCGAAGTGACGTGAAATACAGAACAAAATTTTAGTTAGAATAACAAGAAATTGAATAATTTAAGACTATCGAATTTGAGTTTGTTCATTGAGGTAGTTGAGGTTAGAGTTTTTGACAGCTTTATTAATTTCCAGAGTTTCAAGAAGGTTAAGTTTTTTTCCCTTGTCACAGATATGTAAAATTTCTATGTTAGAGTTGGGATCAAAAGTGTGTTTGTCATTGATAATATGGTTAGGAAAAACAGAATTGGACTCAAAAAAATCTTTTGCAGAATTAATATTTTCATGTTTTTTTA